ATCGTAAAATGTCCTTTGGCATATGACACTTAAGACCAATCTTTCCATTCTGCTATTTTTTACAGACGTAACTTCCAGAACATCCCCTGACTGTCATAATCACTGTGGAGTAATGTGGCAGGAAGGAACGTCAGGAAGCGCAACGACTGGTCACCAAAGCAAATATGATGATCTATCTACCACTCTCTAAGAAAAAAACGATGAAAACAGATGAAGTGCCATACGATCTGACCACAACAACCAAAGAAAGCAGCCGCTAAATGACCAGTGGCAGGAATGAAGGTGTATCGGATGCTCCGGGCCCCCACTTGCTTAGTGAGCTGCTTTCAATTCTTACTTTTCTTTCAAAGCCAGAAGTCCTAGGTGCACGAAAAAAAAACAGAAAAGAGCACAAAATCGAAATTAAAGAATAGCGCAGAGCTGAGTGCACGAGCAACAACCACCACACGCGCCACACCACATCGCAGAAATAAAAAAAAAACTCACGTAAAAGCTTCCAAACAGCGAAGTAATCTGTGGAAAAAATAAACCGAAAAAATAATATATTTGGGTTGGAGCAACGAAGCAACGTAAATTTGTTGAAGCCGCTTTTATTAGTGATTAAAAAAAGCAACAAAAGCTGATAAGAAAAATTAATTTTCAGACGCTGAGACCTGAAACTCTGTAGCACTGCTGAGCGAATATGCTTGAAAGATCTGGACCAAAAACAGGTCGCTTTAATTCTCAGCATAGCAGCTACCATGTGACTCAATAATTTTATGGACTCCGAGCTACCCCCTGAACCTTACTGGAGAAGAGGAGAGTGAAGGGGCCAGAGGTCGGGGGGGATGAAGAGACGGGCGGGGAGAAGAAGGAGAGGAGGAGCAGGAAGGACAGGAATTCCAAAACTTATAGCGAGTACTCGTAAAAAGGTTTTCTTTCTGCAGGGATCCAGGCTTGAAGGTTTTGTTTGAAAAGTTCAAGTAATTTTGAAACTAAAAAGCTACCTCTTCAACACTCTGCGATTCGATACTTGCCGAGCTGCCATCTTTGGTGAAAGCAAGGAAGGGGGCAGAACGTTCGATCGGTGTTTTGGGCAACAAATCGGGCATCACGCCGCATCGCTGACCACCAGATGTCGCAGAAACGGACGCACCTCGACCCGAGCCTTTTCGAGCATCCAGGGGCGATGCTTCTGGTGATGAGCCCGATCCTTCACTACCACTTGAAATTGATCCAGCGCCTGTTCCAGTATCCGCTGGCGTTTGCTGAAATGTATCCAGATTCAACTGCCAAGTTTTGAACGTTCCATTATTCCCACATATTTACCCATACATGACTTTCTTATATGACACTATGTCTTATCTACATTTCCAATCCTACTACATCTTTCTTCCTTTTATTACAAAAATCACGAAACTTGTTTTTCTAATTCGAGATTTCGATCCATCTATATTCTCAGGTCCTTACTGGTCTTGGTTTTTCACTTAGGGTTCGACTTACTTTCCCCCGTTATACATTTAAATCAATTCCTTATTCCATTATATTTTTTACTGGCAGTTAACTAACCATTCCACTACAATTTTTCATGAAGGTAAGCCTTGCTAAAAGGATTAACGGAAAAGCGATTTGTCCGCTCCTGCACAACAGTTTTCACCAAAGCAGCACATATCAAGAAGAACGGCTATTGTAATTTTAATTTTAGATGATGTGTGTTTATGTAAAAGGTAAGGGTGGTCAAGCTAGGTTGGTCAAGTAGCAAAATAATGCGCAAAACATAATGAACTATTAGATCGTAGCAACCGAATTCGTGTGAACAATGAGAATGCAGCCACTGCGATGGAAGAATACGTTTTAAAGCTCATGTAGAGTGTCGCCGATGTAAAAAGTACAGAAGAGGAGTACAGTGGAGATATCCTCAATTGTCGGGGAAGAACACTGCGAGTAGAGAGCAAAAGACTAGAAAATCAAACTGAGTAAATTCAGTCAAAAATTGAAAATTTAGCAAGTTCCGGACAGAAATGTTTCCGTAGTGCAGTAACTTACGCCCCATCCTTCGCCATAACCTGATACATAAGAGATCGGATACCGTCATAAGCTCCTCTACGATTGCTGATTCATTTCAAAGCAAACTTATACTCGTGGCTCTAAGAGGAAAGGAACTCAACCAGTTTGTGTTTCAACAGTTCTTAGAAAAAATCAATCACCGTTGACTGCTAACATCGTAATGAATAAGCCATCTAACAGAGAACGGTAATTTTTGGACCTCCAAAAGAAGGATCGGCAAAAAGAAAAACAACATTTTGTCAGGAAAATAACGAAATTTTCGAATTTTTCAAGAGCATCAAAATACTTTATTTTGACTACTAAAGCTTATTACGAGTTAGGATTATTTTTTCTGGAGCATCTTAGCCTAGAGAAAACTTCTTTTCTGGGAAAACGAGATCAAAAAACTCACAATACGTTGCGAACATTTGCAACCCAAAACAAGAATTCACGGCACAGGCTATGACTAACGGCTCCAGCAGGAAAAAATAAAGCAAATAAAAAGTAAAAAAAAAATCGAAAACTGGGCACGTAACTTACATCGGGCATT